TCTGTAGTAGTGGTTTATAGTTTAGTTTCACCTCAGGTACTTTACACCTAATCCAAATGTGGCTGCACAGGAAGTTTTATGAAACTGCCATTCTTTGTTCAAATATTTGTATTTGTGTATTTGTATTTTATTTCATTCTCATAATCCTCAGTGGTAACAGGGGAGGACAGCACAGTAAGCCTTTCTCATGTAAGGAAAGTTTGACTTGTCAAACACTGGCGTAACTGATAACATTAATTAGGTGTTTTAATGTTTTAAAGCTCTGGGAGTGTACATACAGTACATCCGTGTTTTTCCTGTCAAGAGGAAGGTTTGTACGAGTGTCTCTGGTTTGCGCAAATATAACAAGGCAAGTGGAGTTAGTGTGATTTGACTTTTTGTAATAGTTTTGATTTAGAGTACTTTTCAGTAAGTTAGTCAATACACCTGAAGTTGGCCTTTCCTCATTCTCTCCGATTTGTGCATGAGTCTTTGACATTTTATACATATTTACATGGTCTGTTTTTTATGCTTGCTGGAGAGGATTTTAGTCACTCAGGGCCGGCATTCATAAAATTTGGTATCAGAAGAATGTTGAAAACACAAACTCACCAGAGGGTAAGCAATCTTCTTAGAGACTTTTAAGGTAAAAAACAATGATGTGAGATGCATATAAAGCACCAACAATCATTCATTCTGACAGAGACATGTGTTTTCCATGGAATAGCAGGTTTCCTTCTCGCCACAACTAGACTGCTACTCAGCTTCAGTTGTGTGCTCAGTGCCGCCCCTAATGGATGGAAGGTAAATAAAAAAGACCACCGTTGTAATCTGTAGTAATGCTGCAATACAGCTGGACTTTTTGGGTCCTCTGAGGTCAAGGAAACCTTAACAACAATAAACCTTAACTTAAACAATAGCGCATTTTTATAGCATGTTCTCCCCACAACTCTAAACTCTCCTGAACAGAAGCATCATTATTCTTCCACATGAACAATATGGTTTTTTTCCAAGCCTTCTAAAAGTTAGTTGTGTCAAAGCTGTGAAGTGAAGGCTACATACAAGCTGCTCAGACCCAGAATGTGCTGCCTATTGTAAGGTTAGAAACTTACTCAGGCCGATGCACCCAACAGGCCTCTCAGACATTTTGACTTGTCATTGTAGGAAAGGATCTGTTACTAAAAACATTAACAATAGCTCTGTTCTAATCAACTCTCCCAGTAGGCCATGAAAGTGTGACAGTGAGCCACAATGTTTTCTGTGAAAAAGGCCTATAGTACTAGTACACCTATGCCAACTGTAGATGACTGAAAACCCTAAGATGTCTGAAATGCCGGTTGCACACCTTTACTGTGATTAAAATAAAATATTTTGTTTTAAAGGCAGTGTAACATTCCTATATTAGTGCTTCATCTTGTGAAACAATCTTTACAAAATCATCAAAATGGTTATATTGTATTTATTGTATCCAATCTCTTTATAATAATAATATTAATGGATAATATAATATAATATGGAGCACATTTCAAACCATGTTAGAAAGTGTTTTCACATGAGCAAAGACAATAAAATAAACCAGATAACAAGATACACGGTAAAAGAACGTTAAAAGAAAAATATATTAAGGAAATCAACTAAAACCAGCAAAGGCTTTCCCAAGTATGTTTTAAGAAGACACTTAAAAAAGTCCACTGACTCAGCCACCTTGACATCCTCGGTTCCCAGAGTTTCGGCCACTGAATGCAACCGCACTGTCCGTTTTAGTTTTTCTTTTTTGTGGCCACTTACTGCACCAGTGGATCAATATCCTAAAATAATTTCAGCTGTACTTCAGCAAGCTTAAACAAAGCACCCGAGGATTGCTTTGGCATGCATACTAGGGTGACTCCCTGCACAGATGAGTCTAGGTGGTGCTACAAACCAGTCCGATGTCATTCCTGCATCAGGCACAGCACAGAGCGCCTCGGGCCAAACGGCCTGCTTAATTTTTACATCTCACGATGGGAATGTTACCTTTATCCACATGCCAGCATTTACTGTAGGAGCCGTCAACTACTTCAGCTCCACTTCAACCTTTCAAATGAGACAGACAATCCTTGTACAACTGTGAGAGTGTCAATATTCACTTGAATAAAAACAAGTGAATAAATGAGATGATCGCTCACATTAGTTTTATACTAGAAGGCTACCTAATAACAAGTGATCTGAATTTACTAAATGTATTCTGTGCAGACTTATTTTAGAGAATGGGCTATATTCTGCAAATGCAAGGTGTATATATTTTAGTTTAGGTTTCACTTACAATGTAAGCTATTGTTACTGATTTTGGAAAACAGTGTGTAGCTGAAGGTGTGGCACAAGAGGAAATTTTGCTGATGCAACCCTGTCAGTGATTAATACTTGACATACAAAGAGGTTATTAGTGTATCAGTGCTGCAGATTAAAAAGCAAAAACGGAAATGTGGTGTTTTCAAAACAAGTGTTGGCTTAACTCTGGCATAACTGAGGCCAGAGCCATGGGAAGCAATGCATTAGATGGCTGTTCTTTGAATTTCCCATTTCAATGGCTGTAATGACCCCTTCTTATAAAAAGACAGAGTGTGCTTTCCTCTGTTGAGGGTTGGAATTGGATCAGTTTGAAGTAGTTCCCTGACCACCTCTACCGGTTTTTCCTGTAGATGCGCCCCAGGCTTCATCAGGCCAAAAGATAGAGAGAGAGAAAGAGAGAGAGAGAGAATCATGCAGTTCATCAGATTAAAGAGGACTGGCGCTTCTTCTTTTACAGAGACAAATCAGAGAGTTTGGCGGGAGCACGTGTTTTTATTTTCTCTCTTTACATTTTGATAATGACCTGGACAGACAGAAACCCACTGTGTGTAGAGGGTTGGCTCTCTCTCTCTCTCTCTCTCTCTCTCTCTCTCTCTCTCTCTCTCTCTCTCTGTCTAATAAGTGGGTGTGTCTTCGTGTCTCAACACGGCGTGCTTCAGTTGATAGACAGCTGCACTCACCATTTTTACCTGCCAGGTGAGAAACGCAAAAACGTTTCAGACCTCAGAGTTCATTTCACGCAGTGAACACAGCAGCATGCTCATCATTCTTAGGCCGCTTGAATGACTGCGGGACACCGGCCAGGACAGGTGAGTTCAATTACCTGGAAATGCATATAGTTATGTTCTACACAACACTGCCAACAAACAGCCTTGCTAGTAATGATTCATGTTCCCATGTTCTCGTCAGTTTTCAGTACAAACACCTGTTGCGGCTGGTCTATGGCCGTCTCGTCAATCATACTGCTAGGATGAGTCTAATTAAGAATAAGCCGACATATCAAGCGAAGTTAAGTCTAAACACGAATACATATGTGCTTGCAGGAGAGCGCTGCTGGATTATTGTGTGTATTTTGTGTGTATAGGAAGAGCGTGATCAAACATGTAGGCTACTAATGAAACATTCTGCCCGCACACAACTGTAGCTATGTTGTTGATACATAGAACAATAACTCTTATTTCTCTCCACAGGACTATTTATTTTTACATAATTTCTGTTACCCGCTCAGCTGGAAACTTTGCCTGGGAATTTGTGTGCTCAAAAATTTCAGTCATTGTTTCTGGTCGTGTGTGTAATGTGCATCCAAGACCAAACAGATGCACCACAGGAGAGTTTTTGGGATGGACGTGTGGGTTTTTGTTTGTTTGTCTGTTGGTAAACTCTAGTTTTTAGGTAGAGGTTGAACTTAAAAATGTCTTGAGTGAAAAACTGACAGCCAAATGGATGAAACCCTGCTGTCGTCAACTCTCCTGGAAGGCAAAGCCAAAATCTAAATCATCCCTGTAGAATTTGTAGCATTGGAAATTACAAGCTACAAGTCAAATGTAAGTCTCACCCTTTCTTTGTAAATACATCAAATATCAAAGCAGGTTTTAATCTGAAGAAGAATTGAGCAGACAAAGTTGTTCACCAGATTCTAACAGGCACTAGGAGTAAAACAGGAATCCTGTCCGATTTTGAAACTTCTTAATCCACGCAACAGCAGCCACTTTCCTAGTTTGGGACCGAGGGCATGGCAGTGGTGTTACCACATGCAGACGAAGCATCGGTATGTCAGGTATGTTGGTGAACCAGCTCCAATGAGCAGTTCTCAGATAGGTTTAACTGTCATTTCCTTTTCAGTAGCATGATTTATTAGAAATGCTGACAATAAAAAGATGACCCACCACTTCACACAAGGAAATAACTGCACAATTAACTCACTGAGCACATGATTGAGTTTAAGTCCAAGATGGAGATAAAAGAATCGGTACCACAACAAAGTATTTGTATATGGTTTTTTTGTTGTTGTTTTTTTTATATATAAAATCCCATGTCCAATCAGTTTATGCTTTCAGTGAATGACTGTGTTCAAACAAAATAAACATGAGAAACAAATGCTTGTGCAACAGTTACTACTTGTCTTGTCCTAACAATCTTTTAGCTCGAGTTAATGTAGTTCATATTTGTATGCAAACAGCTAGAGGTCCACACACAGTTCAAACAGGTTTCTTCAAACTCCGTTACCTCTCATTTGGTGATGAGTTGCAACTTAACTTGTGCGAATAACCGCATTACTGGCAACAGGTGAGCGACACATTGAGTTACATGCAGAACAAATGCGGCATGAAGTGTGTGTATCAGCCAACCACCAGCACGTTGTAAAACGATAAGTCTTCGTTACTTTTGCTATGCAGACTTTTTGGGGGGTTTGAAGTTTCAACAGTTCAGTGGCCGGAGTGAGTATGGATCTATAGCTAACTTGGTTATTCTTGGCTGCTGGGGGCAGTTTGTCTTTCTTGGTAACCTTAAAACCTGTACTTCAGGTCCACAGTGTCATCATTGTGGTTAGGTGACATTCTGGCAACTGTACCAAGTGTGGTACAGAAATGACTTACAGAAACCTTAAACGTCATTTGAGGACTGAAGGTCTCCATTGCACTGAGCAAGGTCACATTTTAGCTTTAACCGACTTAATGAATGAGTCGTATTCATTAAGAGTGGAAATGCTGATAGTTTATTACATTTTGAGATGCTATAGGTACAAGCAACATGTTATTTAATTTTACTTAAAGGTTCTGTTACAAGTGCCAACACATGTTGCTTCATGATTGGTAAGATTGCATACAAGCCCTGGATAAAACAAAATGAAAACAAATGTAACACTTCATGTTTTGATGTAGACAGCACTTGATTCCAAAGTAATGTCTGATGGCAACATCCACAAATACAAAGAGGCATCCTGATCGGATTCATTTTGTACATTTTTTTCAATTGTCAACATGTCCAGAAGGGGGTGCTCTCACAAAATAATACCACCTTGGTTGGTGGGTGTGGTAGCTCTGCTACAACCACAACAACTTTAACCTTTTTCCATTCCAAGTCCCTGGAAAAAAAAATTACAAACATAGCACAAATTTCACTCAGTCAACAGCAATTAGCACATAATTGAATAACACCTGCATATGTGTGCTCAGCAATACAAAGACCTTGCACTTCCTCTGAACAAGGAGGGAATCATTTTGGAAGCCTATTTATAATTTCAGCATCAAACATTTATTACAACACGAACCTGAAAGCAGCGCTAAACGTTCAAAGATTGAATCACTTCATGGCCATCAAACATTTCAGTAAACTCAAAACCTTGAATGTGCTTTTTCACTTTCCTTGTCATCCTTATTCAATATGAACAGAAAATGAATGGTCTCTTTGTGCAGTGATAATATATTTTATGTCAATTTCTCCAGCTGATCCTGTTACTGATTTGCCTCTATCCAGATGCACTTCTGTTGGGGGAATGTTTGCTTTTTCCTGCAGACAGGAAGTGATTTCTGTCTCAAATTTTGAAACAAAAAAGGACTGGAAGTGACGACAGGAAAGCTTGGGAGACTGGAAATCGAGGGAACAATCTAAGGAAAGACCAACAAAATATTGTATAAAAATAAAATATAAGGCTCCCTTTCTAACTAGTGGGACAAGGGATAACAGGACTGAAGAATCTTGTATTTTCCACAATGATTTGGTAGCACAAGTACATTTAAATTAAAGAAGAACAAATATTCAATCGCACAACATCTGTGCCGTAAGCATGAAGCATGACTTCAGGTTTGACACATAGACAAGCAATGTACATGCATTCCATTTTGGTACTGGTTCTTATATGGGCCAGTTTTAGTTTGTAAATGACCTGCAGATATGAAATGGTGGCAGAAAAGGGATATTGTACAGTGGTATATGAGTGAACACTATTGGAACATTATTGGCTTTTTGTGGCTTTAGCCCTTTCTGACAATAAAGGAGCCAGAATATTGGATACAGAGCTGAAATGCATGTACATAGTTGTTCACTTTCAGTAAGCATGCACATAGAAACAGTGAGTCTTACAGAGAACCATCCATCCACTTTCAGTTTAAGAAGGACGGGGTTAAAAAGTGTCCCTCACAAGCAGAAAAACACAAAACACACAGCCTACAGCCAACTAAATGTCCATGAATCATCACCATCCTCTGCACTGGAACAAGGTGGTAAACATATCAAAAGCCAAAACTACCAGCATCTTGATAAAGGCTTATTTTTTGTTTGAATACAGCAACAGGAACGCGTCCCTCCAGAGTCGTTCGCTGTGTGGCACATGGACAGGGCCTGTGAAGCCTCGTTGCACAGCATGGAAAGAGAACAGAACTGCAGCATTGGTGTACAAAGCAGCTGCCATGTTGGTATCTAAGACACTGTAGCAGTCATGTTGGACCCGACAGGCAAGAGTCATGAGGAAATGTGCGCAGTTATATCCAGCAGAGGCCTTGAGCCCTTGTGATAGCATGGTCCACAGATGGGACGAACATCAGCACATGATGACCACAGCAGGTGAGGAGACGGGGAGTTTGTCACAAGGCTGATATTTTGGCTTGTCTTGATTTTGAGTCAGTTAAAAGAAATAATATTAATCACAATGTACAATTAAAAAAAGGAAAACATGAGTGTAGTTCCAGCACTTACAGACCCATTTTCCTAACTCTGGGCCAACTTTGGAGGGTAATTAAAAAATAAAATAAAATCCCACTGCCAACTCATCATATTGTCCCAAGGCTTTTGGTCAACAGAGTGCGAATGGTTGAAAACAAAAAGATAAATAAAAGAAGAGGACGAAGGAGGACTGACAGCATGTCTGGACATGGTAGAGAGCCTGAGTCACCGCTTGTTATAGGCACCTAGAGAAAATATGGAAGAGAGAAATTTAGTAGCACCATCACACTGCAATTTAAGTTGGACTGCAGATGTTGTGTTTATGCACTGCAAGTTTCAGAGATAGTTTTTTCTTCTTCAAGATCTGGATTTTTTTTCTGCTGATAATGCTACCTGCTTTTCTAGATGTGTGAAACTAGCACTGTTTATCCTTCAATAAAAAGCGCAGACCATCTGCTGCAACATCTGCAGTTTGTTCTCAGTTTCTGTCCCGCCATTTCCTGTTATCCCTCACACTGTCAACTCACTAATAAGGTTAAAAAAAGTCCCCAAACTACCAAGAACCTTGTTCTTCTGAGTGCCTATGGCCGTTTCTCTGGGAAACTACCTGCTTTGCGGTTTATTTTTCTGTCATATTAGACTGTAAAGAAATATGTTTGGGTTTTTGGACTGATGGTCACACCAAATGACCTATTTTTGGGTCACGCTGAGGCACAATGAGCTCTGAGAAACTGGTGGACTTATGGTCAGTTTTAAAAATGTTTTGACATTTTATAGACTAAATACTCAAGCAATTTGAGAAAATAATCAGCAGATGAATTGATCATGAACATAATTGTTTGTGGCACCCCCTAGTTTTTCAGAGGAATGAGGACTTTTAACAGCAGCATCCTAAATAATGCCATTATCTGAAAGCCACAATTCACTAACCGAGATAGTATTGTCAAGTTATTTCCGGACTGATACATTCTTGAAAGCGTGTGTGAGCAGAGAAAAAAAATGCAAACTTCTAGCTTCTAGCAAATTTAAAAGCAACACTTCCTTTCCAGAACATGTGCAGTCAGGACAGTCCCTCTCTCAACACACACAGCTATGAGTACCCAGTGAAAAGAATCATGTTAAGCTATTAAAAAAAAAAATCGGGCTGGACCAAAGAACAAACATCTGTTAAGAAAGATAGTAAGCAGTAATGTTAACAATATGCAATTTGATGTGAATATGCAATCATTAAAAAAAAAAAAACACACACCAGTGTAGTCCTTATATACAAGGTACATCCTTATTTATTTGGATAATACTTAATAGCCACGTTTCCACCAAAAGTACCTGGTACTTTTTAGTCCCCGGATCTCTTTTCAAGGAACTAAAAAGGTTCCTTCAGCCCATTGTTGTGTGCATTTCCACCGTGGTCTAAAGACCTGCAAACCAGCTGACATATATGTCGTACAAAGCGACGGACTGACATCATTATTTGTAACCACTATCCATGAGCAAAATTTGTAAATGAACTTCAGATTTGATTGGAATATGATGAAAAACTATAGACTTTGCTTTACCATTAGAAACAGCTTTTTTGTGTGGGAGAATAATGAAGAGACACACGATAAAAATCGTTTCAAATTTAATAACAAACTGGATAAAGCCATCACGTTCATAAAATAACTCCAGTACAGAGAAAAAAAACCCCACAAACATAAAAACGCGACAGTTTGGAAGGTCATTAAAATATTTCCTGCTGAAAAGAGCTCCTTATCAGCTGCAGCACTCACGTCTGTGTCCGCTTGAGCGTCAGGGGAATGTGATTTTTAACAACCTTTATTACCGGCTGTAATCAGCTGTTCCGTTTGTTTTGGAGAGGAGGAGACCAACTTCGGCTCAGTGTAGAAACCTCCTGACTGACGTAAACTTAAAACAAAAGCTCCGGACCCAACTCCATCAGCTCTTAGCTGTAAACACACCGCTGCACACTGGCTGCTGTTTCCAAGCATTACAATAGATGCCGACATACAATCTCAGGCGGACATCACCGAGACTTGTGTGCTTTCTGACTGTTGATTGTGATTTATTGGTTTGCAAACAACGGTGGAAAAGAGAGGAGCAGTAGGCCTAGTAGAAATACAGCTGACATGCTCGATTTAAAGCCAGTAGCCTCTATTCACCCATTCTCTGCAAGGCAAGCCCCACCCACCCAAAGTACCAGTACTTTCAGAAAGTACTGCCCCTCCCCCCGAGCAGGGACTTTTTGGGGGGTAAAAAAAAAAGACCCTAGAACTAAATTTGGACCCTGTCCCCGCGGTGGAAACGCAGTGAGTTCCTCCAAAGGTTCCTAGTTCCATGGTATAGCTCATTTGTTGGAAACGCGGCTTATGTTAGTGCTTAGTAAATACAGCCAGTCAGTCACATGGACATCATACCTTTGTAAGCAGCTTCAGGTCTGGTGGAAGGACGAGGGGGAGCGGGGTTGTCAAAGTAGCCATAGCCAGAGCTCACATTCTCATAGTCATGTACACGAGGCTGAGGGGGCCTAAGACGGACAGAGGGAGAACAGGAGTGAAATTTCTGAGCTTTCTACTTCTTTACTGACTGGAAATGTTTGGTCTTCCTAAACAGTAATGGGTCTTGTACCTGGCAGGCTTGTTGTTGTTCCTCTGCCTCTGGTGTTCATACTCATCTCGTGTTCTGGGCCGGACAACTTCCTCCGAATTTGGCTGGGGAAAAGAAAAATTGTTCCTAAAATTATGGTTCTAGTCCCACAGTGGAAATACACTTTCTATATAAAAAAAGTCACATGTTGCAAAAATATTTCACCCCAAAAGCACATGTTTGAAAATGAGCATGGTTATAGAAAATTACCCTGTGGTCTCCCTCTAGCCGCCTCCTTTCTATTGCCATCCGCTCCCTCTCTCGTTCCTTCTCTTTCTCCCGCTCTCTCTCATTCTCGCGCTCTCGCTTCTTCCTGTACTCCTTTTTCTCTTGTTCCATTATCAGTCGAGCGATTTCCTGCCAGAGCGAGACATCAGACGCATCAACAGAAAAACCTCCACAATCCTACGTGATTCGATGTGCGGGCAACACGTCGGCTGTGTTTCATGTCACTACAAATTTATTACACACACACACACACACACACACACACACCATTTTATCTGTCATGAGATCTGTATTCTGAAAAAAACCCAAGTTCACTGCCATGTGTGTATTTAAAAGACTATACTGTCACTTGTACAGTAGTAGATTAAGTCTTCTACATAACCTTGGGGCAGAAAGAGTCTGGTTTAGACATGGCTCCATATACTCAGGGTTATATGACAATAAAGCAGATTCAAATGGCTGAGCTCAGGAAATGGAACGATATAAAAAGAGGACAGACAGCATAAGAAAAGTTTCCAGACTTCGTGCCCACTCACCTCGTCCTGCGCCACTTGGGCTGCACGCACATGCATCTTGCTTGCCTGAAACCAGAAAATAATCAAAACATCACATTTTGCCCAGAGTGGAACATATTGTTCCAACATTTTATAACATGGGACATTTCAGAGATTGAGGTATTTCAGTTGGGTTTTTTTGGACACTGAAGCTTTTCCACACAGACGTTAAGAGTATACTGCTTCATCACATCGTGCTATTCCAGTGCTTCTTTCACAGTTTTTAATATTAATCTCATGCATTAAACAGTTCACCTTTTATTTGGAGAAATAAATAAATGCTAATACTTCTCTGGGGTCCTTCCTCACTTTGATTTCCTCCTCTTGGAGTTTCCTTGCCACCTCCATGTCCTTCAGCTCCTGCTCGCGGAGATCAAGCTTTGTCAGTCCTTTAGTGGCCGCGCTCAGTCCAAACTCTACACTATTTTCTGCTACGACTGCTCCACTCCCTCGGTGCACAATACGACCTGCGAATGTCAGAACATTCAATTATTAGATTAGGGTTGCAACTAAATTATCATTTTCATTATCGGATAATTAATAAAAAAAAAAAAAAATCAATCTTTGTCTTTAAGACATCTTCAAAGTGTTTATTTGACTGTTTTGGCATTTTTCTTGAGAAATGGCAAAATTAATCATTAAAATAATTTTTTTTTTAAATTCTAACTGATCGCATAATCGACTAATGATGTCAGCACTACAAATAGATACAACTGTAGTTGTCGGAATGGACATAGAAGAGCTGTAGTGCATCTCCACTGGTGTTTTGGCGTTTTGTTTAATGCATTTAACGGCTTTGGGATAAGATAAAACAACCAGCTCACCAGCCCAGAAGCCCTTTGTGAATGCCAAATTTCAACTAGTCAAAACCACAATCTGATTCTACTATAAAACCACAGCACAAATTTCAGTCTCAGCACAGTAATTGTTTCTTTACTCAGATCAACCCAGCAGACAATGGAAGGACAAGCGCACCACACAACAAATACAATCACTTCAAACCATCATAATCTGAATCATGTTAATAATCATCGGAGAAAATGAGTGTCTTCATTAGTGATTGCAATGTTAGATCAACCCACCACCTATGATTGTCACAGCAAAAAAGCAATGCCAGCACACCACACAAATAACCCCGCAGAGCCCAGAGGGTGGGGGGGCTCAGGGTGGTACCTGTCTCTCCGTTGGGGTGAGTGTGAATGCTTTCCCTGCCAGGACCCTCCGCTTTTCGGAGGTCCCGGAAGTCCCCTCTCCCTTCGCTCCTGAGGTCATCAAACACCTCTTCGGGGTTGGAGTGGACACGCTGCCGGCCCCTGGCCTTCCTCTCTGTCTCACCATCATCCCCTTCGTCCTCCCAAGAAGCCCTGCCTTCCCTTTGCCTGTCCCAGCTGTGCCCCGGCTCCTCTTCAAGCGCTCTCTCCGCGCTGCTCGCTCTCGCTCGCTGTCTGTCTTTCTGTCTCTGCCTGTCTCTCTCTTTGTGTCTATCCCCGCTCTGTCCTCTATCTCTGGTTCTTTCCAACCTGAGGTCCTGCTCTCTCCTCTGGTCTTTTCCCATGGGTCTCTCTCTTTCCAGGTCTCTGTCACGTTGCCTGTCCCTTTCTTTGTCCCAGACCTTGTCTCTATCTATGAGGATCTGTGGTAGAGTTGGTCTGGTTGGTCTCTCTTTTCTCCTCACCCCTGTCTCTGTGTCCTCCCGCCCTGGGCCCCTGGCTCTGCCAGTCTCTGTGGGCTCATAGTCTGGATACCTGTCCCCATGCTTGCCTCTGGGCGGCAGCAGGTGCTCTGGGTTTGGATCTGCATGCCTGCTTCGCCCTCCTTCTGCCACTAGGTAGTGCTCAGGGAATCTGGAGCGGCTATGGGGTGCTGCTGGGTCCTGCCTTGGGTATCTGCTCCTTTTGGGTTCTGTTGAGCTATAATCTGGGGAGAAATCCCTTACTGGAGCATAAGCATCATATCGGCCTAGGGAAGAGGATTTGTAACGGGTGTCTTTATCCAAGTCAAGGGGTTTTCTTGAGGCTGAACAGGACAGAGGAGAAGGAGCGAGGGTGGGAGGAGTCCAGCATGGAGAGAATGATGATGACAATGGTGAGAACATGGAAACGTGAAAAATGACAGACAGGAATTATATGCGCTAAGATGATTAGTAAAAATGGAGTTAGACACAGCACCTGTGAAAAGAGTGATGGACAAAAGACAAAGTACATGCTATAGATGTAAAGAGTGCAGGTATCAGCAGCACCCAAAATGTCCACAGGTGTGGTTATTACTGTGGGAAGATTCAGATCAGGTAAATAAAGCCTAAATAAAGATGGTAATATTTATGAACAATAGTCTTAAAGAATGGAAAAGCTCTAAAACACTTCAGACTTAATGTGAAATAGTGGGACAAACAATATGAGCTTTAACACCCTTGAATACTGTGTGTTGTTTGATGGACACAGATGAAAATGAATGTGGCACACATCATGGCCGACTTAAAAATGGGAAAAACCTGAACTTGAAAACAAAATGTTCTTCTTTAAGAAAACCATCCTGCTGGGAGTTGGCTTGTGACTGGCAAAAGTTTGAATAAAAACAAACGAGAGAAAAAGCTCATTGAGGAAGCACACAGCAGTAGGCAGCACAGAGAGTCAGCACAATGGAATTCCAGTTATCTAACCGGCTGCTTAATGTCTAATCGACAGGAGCTGGTTGACGTTAAAACTTCTTGGAGGCAGGTACAAAGACAGCCTGACAGTTACCTGCTCACAGTGACTGAACAGGGTTGAGTGTTTGCGCTCTATCCCATCTCAATTTTAAATACACTTACTCTCTTCCTCCCAATTTTTCCCCAGTTGTGTGTCTGTCAAGTGGCCTCACGATGGTTTGTGCGCAACTGTAAACCCCTGGATTAAGACAAACAGCAGCCCCTTATTTCCTGTGAGGAGTAGCCAACTGCATGGCCTGGTGAAAAGAAACATGATTTTACAGACATGTCAATATGTGTGTGTTTACATGTGAGGATATAAAAACTAGTTGGATGGGGTTTTAAAATGCAACACTACACTATGAAGTACATCCGCATTTTTTGAGTCTCAAAACTAAACAGCTTTGTGCACAGTGACAATCTTGTAACCTGCACAAAATGTATCTGGTTACTCACTGTGAAGTCAGTCCCTTACAGCAGGGTTTTTGTGTGTCAGCCTTAGGGCCTGTCCTTCGACAAAGCTTAGAAAAATGTGCCCGCCTTTAGCTTAGATCAATTCCTGCATGTCTATGGGATCATGCAGCAGCTACTTTAAAATAGCCCAATACTGGAGTCCAACACAATTTAGAGCCTCAATTCTGAGCCTCTCCTGAAACTGTTTGCTGCTCCCCAGGGGAGCCCCGCCTCCAACTTTTAAAACACATGCCCTACAGCATTACATGCAGGGTAAACAAAGGAGTTGAATGTTTGTTCTACTGTGTGTACATTCACACTGCCACAGTTGTATGCGCGCACACACACACACACACACACACACACACACACTCCAGGGACATTATAAGTGAATGGTTATGTAACCTGCAAGGCAATACTGCAAACAGAGAGCGCCTGTTGGTGGCACAAATATTCTAGTGTAAGAGGGAGCAGGGCAGAGTGGCTCAGTCAGCAAAGACGTACTGCAGCTTCATAACGAACGCCTGCCTTGTGTGACATCAAAAGAGGTAATGCACCGGGACAGCTGGTGATCCATACAGCCCAAACAGGACAGGTAGACTGACGGGTAGAGACACTTGCTCAGTCCTGTTTGTGTCAAAAAAGTGTAGACACATACACTGTACTCTCTAAAACCAGCCTACATAGCAGGACTCTTTTCCCTCTCTGCTCACCATCGAAAAATGACGTGAGTGCGGTGGTGTATGCTAAATGTCACCCTCAGCAGAAGACAAAATCCAAATCCAATCAATCAGAGTCAGTCTGCCAGATTAGGATCAGCAGGCTGAGAAAGCTGGGAAGAAAAGGGCTGTGCTTTTAAGAGTCGGGAAGGAACTTTAAAAAGAGTTGTGTGAAACTTGCTTCCCTCCCACGGTCACAACAACTATGGCTAAAGAACTGTCTGTGCATTCAGACCGAGCCACAGTACTGTCGGATAGCTGCTACATTTCTCATGCTGGCAAACTAATAGCCCGTCACTGTAAAAGGACCTACGTTAAACCTGCTCCACCCTGATCTTGAGTTGAATCGCGTACACAGGGCAACAATTCACACAGAAGTCAATTCAAATGAGCCACCATTATTCTTTGGGTAGAAAATGAACGGACCTCCATTGGAATGACTCATACGGTGGGGTGATGTGTGTATGAGAAGACACAAAATGGATTCTTACCAATGCTTACCAATAGGGCTGAAACGATTCATCAATTAATCCGATTACTAAAATGCTAAAGAATTTGCATCGACGCTTCGTTTAATCCATATAACTATATAGCACGCTGTTTCGCACGGATATTTTTTACTGTCGCACTTCACACTTACGCTGTGTGAACACAACGTGATTAAGATGGCGCTGTTTGCAAAGTGGAGGAAGAGAGAAAATAGCGAGAGACGAAGAAGAAAGTGTCCAAAGTATGGGATTATTTCAAGCTAAAAGAAAACATCTGTCATGTTACATTCCGTCCACCGTAAAAACGAAAGTTATGTCGCCTCGGCAACAGCACAATGGCACCTGATCAGAAAGCACCCGGTGTTCTGCCAGCGGACCACAGACAAGGTAACAGTAACAGCAACTTTAGCGTTTAACTGAAATCATGATTTATTGTTGAGTTGAAGGCTAGCCAAAGTAAGCCACTATCCTCAGCTGAAAATGTACACACGTGCGTTTGTTGTTCTCCTGGTTGGGCCGTGAGTTTGGGTTGTAACGTCATAGTCTTGAGTTAACTGGGTCTCGGGGAGGTGCACCTTAGTATAGCTATATCATTCGGGTGATATTTGTGTTGGTAAAACAGTTGTCTTTTTGTTGGTCTGTTGATCTGATGTTTGCTGTAAATTATTTGTCTGTAGGAACATGTAAGCCTCTCCCTTCAAGGTTAATTATGTGCTTAGAAATGCATTCCAAAATCTTTGCCTCGAGTCAGAAACAATCTCCAGCTCTGTGCGGCATCAAAACCACACACATCCTCCTCATGCATCGCAGTCCACAGCAAAGAGGAGGAAACATATCTTCTCTCCTTTCACAAAGAAGCTCATACAACCAACAAAAACGTATGAATAGACACACACACACGCCAGTGGTGCTCTCCCCACCTCCGTGATCCTCAAAGTACTCCTCCTCAAAGTTTGCTTCCAGCTGTTTCTGTCTCCTCCTTTCCTCTTTCATCTCCTTCTCCTGCAGCTTACGAGCAATGGCCTACAAACAAACATGGGCCACAGTAAACATCCTACATGAATGTGACAAAAAATATTCTGTAACAAATATGTCACTTTTCAAACATATCATATTACTGTGGTGAGATGTACTAAACCCTGATGTTTCAAACAAGTATGAAAGCGTTACAGGGCCCTACTCAGACCTGTAAGTGCAGTTTTTCATAGAACTACGGAGCAATGAGACTCATCACTCCCTCAAATTAGAGAGCAAAAAATATTCAGTGGAATCAAGGGATATTTCGAAAGATTTTGTAAAATTTTTAAGAGAAGTTGAAGCACAACCTTTAGAGCAATTTATGCAATCATGATGGATGAACCAAAACTGAACCATAGGCCTTGGAGAACACAGAAAGTACTACTATTTAATATTATAATATACTAATTATTATAATAATTATTCTTGATTTACAAAAACATCCTGATACTGTAGCATCACAATATACTTAAATCTCTGCTCTTTAAGTACCGTAGAGCATAAATCATGGTGATTAAAAATACAGGTCAGGTCACTATGGCCGTCATTCCATTCTTACAATGGGGAGGAACAAACAAGGTGGTGATTCAAGTGCAACGACCTGCCCATGGGCAGTCTGTATGTGTGTTTCTTACCGCATCCTTTTCCTCCTGCTGACGCTGTTGTTCTGCCTGTCGGACCAGTTCTTCCTGAATCTCGTGGGCTATCTCAATATCCTTGCGCTCACTGTTGCGATAGGTTGATGTGTGTTCATGTGTACATGGGGAGGCGTAGAGAACATTAAAACATTTATAAATAAAACCCAAACATATTTACAACTGTTTATAGCTTCAGAATTGTACAACAATCTCTAACAAACAGTATTTAATCTGTAATGTTTGTAATCATACAAGTAAGGGTGTAGATGACGGACAAGATAGGAAGATTATATTTATCTGTCTCTTACCATAAACCAGTGATTAGATTGCTTTAAATTTCTCTTATTCTTATCTCTCAGTCATCAACTTGCCACAAGATTGAAAGTCACTCTAGTCTTAATCCAGACTGGCTGAATATAGCAGAGACTTTCATAGAAAATGAAAGCACTTCTACGCTGCCAAACTTCATGTATTGTGTAAGTGTCAAGTATTAATCAGGAAAATATAAACTCACAATGTATTATACATGAAGAAATGATCATGTTACAAAAGAGAAAGCGTGTACACAGGAATATCCCCGGCAGGTGATGTTGATCTCAACGGCTCGCTTTGGCACACTCACAACTTTAATTTGACAACAACAACACCATCTGCGTAGAGGGCCGGTATGCAAAGATGATTGCTATCTTTGCGTGAGTGTAATACTTTACTTAAAAGCAACAGCTTAACTAGCTTGCACTGCACCAGTATTTGACCTGAGCAGCAGAGAGCTCTGTCACTTAAGCTGGCAAAAGTTGACAGACTGTAGCGCCTTGGTGTGCCTTCTTCAGTACAAACTAAGAAACAAGTGATGCTGCATTCCTGTGCAAATGTGTGTGTTTGTTCAGATCTGAGAGTGGGTGTATATGAAGTGGCACTGGCAAGTGCAGGGTGGATTGCAGTGTGAGCTCGCAGCATGACAAGCAGCACTGGCCTGCCTGGGTCGATGGTGGAGCATCTGGCCACTCCCCAGGGGTGCGATCCCACATATGCATACATATGTATGCGTATGTGTTTGAAACAGTGATCTAACTAAAACTGTGAGTCACCATTTTTATTTTAATAAAAACTGCACAACAGAGAGGGGGGATTTTTACTCCAAGTGCCTTTAGCAGGCTTCTGCTGCGGCTGCTGGACTGGACTGAAGCAGAGGCAACAGGACACTTCGCTATGTCTAGAAGCTGTCACTGTGCACTTTGTGGGGAAGCTGCATAGCTTTGGGCACGCAGCTGGAGCTGACCCAAACCCCCTTAAAAATATAATTATATATCACGGCTATGGAGATACCACACATAGACCACAAAAACTATGAATGGTCTGCCTGCTCTTTATCACAAAGAGAGTGTAGAAAAGTAGGTATTACTGTCCTAGCTCATCACTGCTCTCTCTGAGAACGAAAGAGCATTCACAAGATTATTCCTGGCAATGAACGTAATGACAACAAAGGAGTTACATCGGACGATAAATCAATTTGCAGTCATCTGTAGCGGGAGAGCCAGATCACTTCGCTGATAAAGCATAAATCTGTCTTATGTATAGCATTTGGGAGTAATTACACTGATCTGAAACAGATGCTTTCCACATATTAACACATACTGTACCGCGGGTATAATTGCAAAATATTCTGATGACGTCATGAAGTCTCTGAGGGGCAACGGGCACTTCAGAAGTTAGACGAAACAAATACAAAGTCATAATTCTGAGAAATAGAAGTATGGTTACAGCTTCACCTAGACGAATATCTAAATATAAAGTTATAACCACATAACAGCTTTCAAGTAAACTTTCAATCTCATTGCTATTTTAACCAGGTAATCAGCCATTATAGACTTGTCCAAGTATTTCTCCTCCTTATAGGTTGCCTTCCCTAGGCCTAACAACTGTTGTGTGTGGTTTTATCGTCCATTTCTCCCAGTGGAATTTTGCATTGATATAGATATGTATTAAATGGAGTGTGTGTGAGTGAGTGAGTGAGCGAGCGAGTCACCCACATGTCAACGTGCTGTTTCTGGCTCTGGACCATGGCCCGCTGATCCTCCTCCTCCTGCAGCTTCTTGGCCACCTGCAGGTCCTTCTGCACAAGACGGCTCTTATTGACGTTGGACGCCAAGTGGCTCTCAACTGTAGAAACAAACACATAAGCACTGCTCTTGAAACTGTGTACACACAAAAGGGAGCAGGTCGACTGGCTGGACCGCACTAATAATGAGGAATTAGATGAATGCTGAGTAAGTTTATTTATAGAGCAACACTTTCTTGAGTTTTTTCCCTCTCTGAGGAGAAGTAGTATTGTTTAGATGGTCTGCAGATAACAAGATTAACGTCGAGGACACAGACGCTTCAGTCACTCGTAATAAACAGAGAGCACTCTTAGTCACTGAGAAATGAATGTTTGCGGCCGAGGTGCCGTTCCAAGGTTGGGTGATGGCACGTTGTGGCCCATAACAGATGATAAATCCTGCTTGCTGACGCACTCACAGCACTTGGTAAGCACGGAGAGCATCACTCACTCACTGAGCTCTGTTTCACCTGGCTATCAATCTGTTCCCAGCTTTCATGTGAAAAAGGACCAAATTACGTTTGGCAATTTAGCCGTGACAGCTTCCATAAAGTTTCTGCTTTCTGACTGGTGGGATTGAAAGAGGAAACTGTTAGTCACAGATGTGGCAAGTTGATAAAAAGTCAAGGGGTTTACATTGATTTTTTTTTTTGGATGACATCTTACAAAAAAAAAAAGATTTGAAGGCAAAATTGATGTCACAGCCCAAGATAAGGCTATCATTCATCCACTGTATTTTATTGATTCATCTTTCAAGTCAAGCAAAAAAACAAAAAAAAAAAATCAAAAAAACAAAACAAAACATGACCGGGCATTGTGACATTTTTTCATTTAACAAACTAGGGCTGAACGATTTTTTAAACCAATTTTGCGATTTCATATGCGAATAATTTTTAAGCTCTTTACCTTCTTTTTTTCCCCAAAATGTACAAGCAGTTAATCAGTGTATAGTAAGACCAACACAATATTAGATAGATTAAACATTCGTTCTTTCTTTCTTGTAGCCCAGAGTTGTGTTATGATAAAATTAGGTGATGTATGAATTGCATGAATTATTCTTATGTGAAATGGTGGAGAAGAAGTATCAAATTTTAATAATATGAGAAAGATAATTTGAGTCAAGTCATGGCATTAAATAATATAACACCTTCAGGTAGGCCTACCTACACATGACAAGAAAAACAAAGTTCCCCACAGTGTGTTATACAGCGCTCAATTCAAAACCTACAGTTCAACCACCAATTAATGAGTCTATCTCAAAAAATACTCAGTTTGAGGTTCAATTCAGAAGTTGGCCACCGAAAAATAAAGCCAAGTGACAATCTCAACCACTACTACAACCACGTTACCCGCAGGTGGCGGGTATTACTTTCATTCCCTATGTGACACTAAATTTCTGTAGTGTCAGTTTCTGTCAAGCTTAATATCGCAATTGCAATTAATCGTTCTGTCCTAAACTCAACCTTGAAGAGCTCTCATGTCATTCAGAAAAAGGAGAGCTGGGGTGAGAGAGCTGGACTATCTGAACCTCAGACATATTAGTGGGGAGC